TCCCCGCCCTCCCCTCCCATTAGCGCGGATAGAGGCCCAAAGTTTGTTTTCGACCGGATCGCATGTGGCACGCAGATACCCTTCTCCACTTCTTCCCAGCCATTCTTCAGCTTTGCTTGCTAGGATTCCAAACTGGGACTGCAAACACGACAGGTCCTCTTCTAATGAGGGACCATACGGGGGAGTCAAGGGAGTCAAATCTAGCAAATAGGATGGTCATTACTTTTTACCGATGAAGTCGGGCAGCTGTCGTCTGCACCACTCGCGGGCAAACTTGGCTCTGTTGGCTATAGTAGCAACCTCTGGGAGGACTACGATATGTTTCAATAAACGTAGTCGGATCAGTGTTTTATTACGTCCATCAGAACGCTCTTTGGGCACGGGTCTTGTTCAATTTTCACGCCGGCGCCGAAGACCCCGAGTGTCTCACCTTTGCCGGTGACCTCATCAAAAAACATTATTTTATTGTTCTCATAGCAACTTTTTTTGTGAGAGATTGCACTTAGATGTTTCTTTCCGAAGTGCAAACGTTTCGGTTGTTGAGGGCTATTTTTATCGTAAAAAATTTTTTGGCCACAGAAAACGATGAAGCGTTGCGTGTCATCAGGGTCTGCGACTTTCTGCATTTATGACTTTGCACAAAAACGTCCCAAAATTCGGAGAACTTAGATAAAAGCCAAATGAAGAGTTGGTTTATAGTACTTGAACAATCTTCCAAGGTAATTACTGTTCAGTATAGGCAGGGCTGAGTACTGGTTTATAAGAAAAACTTTAAGCTTCAACCCATCTATGCGATGGTTCGTACCAGGTGGTATCTTAGACTGGATGAGCACTATAGGAATCAGAAATACCGACGAACACCCGGATAAGGTCACTGAGATGGAGTGGTAAGCTTACTTCTATGTTATGATTTCGTTTTTAAAATTACTAATGTTATTTAGGGGAGACAACATATCATTTTCGGTTGATGGCAAGAAGGTAACAGTATGGTGTCTGCCAGCTCAACACTGGGGACAACGAGGACTGTTCGATCGGAATGAGGTCAGTAGTGGGTATTCTCCTTACATCTCCATTTCTTTTCCATTTCAACAATCTAAATGGTGCAGCGCAAAACCTCTATTACCCACCTTTTAAAAGACTGGAGCTCATCAGATGATGATTTTCTCCGATTTCACATAGGGGCTGTATAGAGAGTAATCGATAGCTTTCCAAACCTTCACAGGTTTTCTACACACAGTCAAAAGTTAACAAGAGTCAAAGCTTACGTATAGATCTTTCCTGGGGCCAAGTTTCTCAATTTTTTCCTCACCTTGCATAATAGAGTAAAAGCACTTGATCAGATCTGCAGCACCCTAACACGAAATTCAATAGCCAGACTGAGTGAGAAAGCTTCGACTATCGCACTTTGTTATCCCATTGTGGCTCTGTATCATGAATGAAAAAATAATCTTTGGTTCCACCCGTTTGAGTGATGATTCTCGCTAAAAAAGAAATAATCGCGCTCTTCTAGTCGCTACTCTACCATTTCTCACAATACCAGAGTAGCACGATAAGATTCTTCTAAATCTGTGGCAGGAATTTATTTGTATAGATCTGAACGAGCAGAATGACATCTATTTTGTCGATTAGAATGCGGATTCCATGCCACCCTTCGACACAACAGTATAGGCCTCATTCAGCAAAGATTTACATAAAGATAAGCGATTTTTAGCAAGGGTTGATAATCAATCGACAATGGATGATCTTTTTCTCATTGATAATTCTCTTGCGTTTATAGTTAGCGTTCCAATGGCTATTTGTTTAAGCGGCTGTGGTCCGGATGGGCAGTGATGACACCAAATCGTCGGTTCTACTACACCGGTGACACGGGTTTCTGTGATAAGGAGTTCAAGAAGATTGGCGATTTGCTTGGTCCATTCGATCTCGCTGCAATCCCCATCGGAGCATACAACCCACGGTACGTCTTCATTAATCAAAATAATGGGATTTTTATTTTCAGAATTCTGTTATTCTCCACCGGGGTTAAAAGGTAAAGCAGAAGTATAAGAGCTATAAGGTAAAGTCAAAACTTGGATAGGAGGGTATACAGGTTACAGCTTTCCTTCTTCCTGAGTTGGATTAACATATATTGCAGCATGCTTTCGCTTTTGGGAGGACGAAAACTCGGGCGGAAACTGAAAATTTCTTTTGAAAAAAACCATCGAAAAGCCAAACAACAACAGCTACACGCATACCAAGCCATTTCGAACTAAATGACCAAGCCCTTTCAGAAGGATTGGGAATGAGAAATGCTTGCAGACAAGGGGCACGAAATTGGGAATGTGACAACATGATAATTCTGAAGAGAACTTCAGATTGGCTGAAAGTTATCCTCTACATGTGCTGGGCCTTTCCCAACATTGCAGTCTTTCTGACCTCACCGTGTTTCTTTCTTCAAGTTCCAGTTTGAGCATCTAACGTAGCTAACACTATGAAATAAACATCCTAAACAGATCGTTTTAAGATGGAATAAAAGTGGTTTTGTGAGATGTGAGATCTTGTTGATTTCACATCTCACAAAACACTTCTATTGTTGAGATCTTCAGATAGCCAGAAATCACCAACGTTAGAAGGGCACTTCTGATGCGTTGATTGAGCGTTCTAGATCCTACCTAGGGAATCCTACTATCTGATTCCGGAGTTTTTAGTGATTTCTGTGAGAGTAAGGGGCATGTTTCTTGACCGCACCGGTGGTCAGCTAGGAACACGCAGAAGAAGAAGAACCTCAATAAGGGAGTAATCGGAACTCTCGAGTGATTGATTGAATTCGGACAAATTCATAGATACCTGAGTGAATTACTATCCTATTGAAACACGGTTTTTCGCCTCTCCAAGCCCCTTTTCTTGATCGAATCTTTAACAATTATGGTCAGAGAACCGATGTCCCATCTCTCCTTGTTCAAAATTGCGAGGACATATATGGGAAAGCTCCATATATTTTTCATTGCGCTTGCACCACGTTCAAAGTTGTTGGTATAACAACCGAAAAATCTGAGGATTAAGTTAAAAAATACATTAGATAGTAGTGAACATGATTGCAAAAGTAGGGCACTTCAACGTTCGGCGGACACGCTCTTCAAGCACTGGTAAAACTGAGCTTAACTGAAAATCGCACATGTTCGATGTTCTGGGTTCTAAGATGCGTAGTGGCGTTAATATCACCTCAGTTGGGATTTACTCTGCACTAGGGATGAGTTCTTCCCATTCGATCATTTTCAGGTGGATGCTACAACCGGAACACATTGATCCTCATGAAGCTGTACTTGTTCATGAACTTGTAAAGTCCAAATTCTCGATTGGTATTCATTGGGGAACATACCATATGGGATCACACGAGGTGAGTAGTGAAACCAAGCTTTCTATGACTACTACTTATCACTTCAACGAGACGTCCCTTGTAAGACTGCCAAATGCTAACTACTACAAAGAGATCCACGGAACTGATTTTCGTCCAAATCTTTCCAAGGGGAACAATTTAAATAAGATGATCGTGGCATCACATTATTACTACAGAAGGCTATATGATTACAGTAGTTGAAAGAGTTCCTGACGCCAAAGCTATTCAGGGTATCTTGAATGACCTGATTTTTTCGGCTAAGTTTCTTCCGGCTCTCCTCAAAGTAAGTCAAAAAGGGGTCATGTGCTATATGGAAGATAGTAAGCAGTCGGCAATTAATTCGGTAACATATTCTTCCCACTTTTTTCCCAGCCTGTAATGAACTGAAAAAAGCAGCTAAAATTTGTATGAAGAAAACAGCTTTCTACTTTTTATTAATACTTGATTTACGTCCATGAAACGGGATCAAATTTTCAGCTTTACCTGGAACCAAAAGAACTTTTGGAAAGAATCGGAAAGGAAACCGGTCACGCTTCAAATTTTGTTATTCTTGAGATGGGACAAATTTGGGAAGACAATGGAGACGAAGATTCTGGTATAGAAGAAGTGTAATATAATAATATATGATTTCAACGCTCGTTTACAATTGTAAAAGTCATCTGTACAGAATGTTAACTTTAAGCTGCAACGCTTTGTTCCTATTCCTACAGAATGGGTCGTTGCGAAAAATTGTTGCTTGGTCTTTATTTTATTTAAATTACAGCAGTAAATAAATTCCTCCAGAAATCGTCGTCCTGGTGTATTATAATAGGTGTGTCCATTAATTTTCAGCGCCGAGCCATGTCGTATAGGTTTACCTGTGAAACCTATCATGTATAAATGGTATTGTTCACTTATTTAAGGGCAGACAGCTCAGTTTTCCACAGAACCCCGTTGTCCTCGAAGTGATTGAGTACGGAACGTTATAAGTCTTTTTTCCGGAGGGCCCTTCTTCTGCTGCTCGATTTCAAGTAAACTGTCAGTGAAGCCACCGGATGCTTTTCGATACTTACGGAGATCGAGCTCCGTCTGAGTGGACCTACAAAGAATTGTTTCAGCGATCAACAAGCGGAGATTTCAACTTGGACAGAAAAGGAAGTTCTAGACCAGCCGAAAAAAAGTTAAGGAATCGCAGTTGCAGACATTGTTGGATGAAAACCCAACCTAGGCCCAAGCATAAGCTGGCAGTGGAGCTAAACTTCAATCGCGCGACTATTTCGAAGCGCTCGCACGCAATGGGAACGATTCGAAGGCTAGGAAACAGGTTCCTCACAAACTGTCAGAAAAGCACGTCTGGAGGCTTGCAGGAAAAATCTTGAAGACCCCTAAAAGGCACACGTTCTTCCCCAAGTTCTGACAGGGGACGGAAAGTGAATCTACTACGATAATCCGAAACGGAAAGCAGCATATATCGACCCAGGCCAACCAACGGATTTGTGAGAAAAGGGAATATCCTTTGCCAAAAAGTGATGCTGTGCACTTGGTGGGATCAGAAGGGCATTGGGTATAATGAACTACTGAATCTAACCGAAACTGTTACTGCTGACCGCTACGAACACCGACCTGACAATTTGTCGGACGTCCTTTACAAAAAGCAATCGTTAATGGCAAGAAAACGTCATAAGGTGCTGTTCCACCACGACAGTAACTGCCCCATGTTACAAAGAACGATCTTTAAAAAATTGCAGGTTTTGGATGGGATTAGCTTGCTCAGGCGCAGGCGCATAACGTTCTCGAGAGGCAGTCAAAAGTTTTGGTGAAATGGTGTGGCCTGCCGGACACCTGTCTTCATGTTGATAATGACTTCCGTATAGAATGGCGAAATCCTGGTCGAGAAGTTGTCCTGGAGCTTACGAAGCATTCTCATGTATCAAGCAGGAATACCCTGATTGCTCAATGCTTCGATTACCGCTTCTGTCTCGACAGTATCAAAGGCTTTCTTCAAATCGATAAACGTAAGTATGCTGAAGCACCGTATTCTGAACAAAGAACCATTTCCGGCTGACATTACCTCGAACGTGTATGAAACGGGTTCCACCTCGTTTTTTTTAGAGATTGGAGCGATTGCTGTCAACAGCCACAAACATCTGAAAACGCATTGCGACCGCACGCCGCCTAAAAAATCTTTGCTTGGTCTCCTCGTCGCAGCGCATGCAACGAAATCCGCTTTTCACTGTTGTCAAGCAATTTGCAGCAACTTACTATTGAGTAATCTGTTACCCTCACCTACTTGCAACCAACAACGCTATTGGCTCACCATTATCTCTGGTTATTTCTAGGGAGTCTTCTGATTTTGTATTCCTGTGTGGTGTCACAGATGGCTGGGCAGCAAAACAAGGTCCGTAGCAGCTCATTTTATCAATGGATTAACTCGCGGGCACTTGAGTGGTGTTGGATTGCTTGGAACAGTAAAAATGCTGGCTCATGCACTGGCTAGATTTAACAATTGCCATTGTTAACGCGACATACTCTTTCAAATAACCCTCTAGTTCTTAATGAAGGTCAAATGCATAGAACAGTTCTTCACTCAATCTATTCCAAAACGGCCTTTCTGTGATAGGGTCTCTCTACTTTTAATTCTTCTCTGCTCCACATCAACATAAATCTTATTTTGAAAAAGGAAAGACCGGTTTGGAACCCTGATCAACTGCATGGCGCATCCAATGTAATGCATATGTCTCTAACTAACATAGAATTTCTCTGCTACCTGTTAAGCTGGATCGGGAGTCGAACCCGTTCTTGTGCTATCCGGACACAAGCACGGGTTCGAGTCCCCTCCAAGGCCGAATTTTTGTCCATAACTCGCCAACATTGTGAGACAAATACTGGCGGTGAAAAAAAAGCAGTTAGCAAAACATCAAGTTTTTGTGTTTTGACTCAAAGAAAAATTCTTAATCAATTTCTATATTTTGCAGAGCTGGGATTTTTGGTTATCGGTTAGTTTTCACTTAGTTCTTTGTACATTTAGTTCTAGGCAAAAATCATCGGCTGAAACCTACCTTAATCGAAAAGTTCTGTTCAGTGATTGGATGTATGTACATGGGACCGTACAGAAGAAGTTGCGCCTCATTTTAGATCTGCTTTTTTAAATTCCTTTATAATCTGACAAATTCTTCAAAAAGTTTTCTACTAGTTATCAAAATGATAGTGACCCATTGTTTTGGAGCCCAGTTGATCAAAATTCTTTTATTAATGCAGTAGCTTTCTTCTTCTTGTCCCTCATAATGTTCGGAGCTGTCAGTGATGAGATTTTTCTCAGACGCCCTAGGTACATCAAATCGCCATGGACTAACCGGCAGTCGGCTAAAAGGGCGACCATAAGTGGTTGCATCGTGCTCACAGGGATAATCGGGCTAGATAGATACTACAGGATCACCTCATAACCCCGTTTTACTAGCAGCTCGTTTCCCATCTCAACTTCGCCAACGCGATCTTTTTGTTTGAGGAGAACTAGCCAGCAAACGCTGAAGTAGTGACGTCGTTCTTAAAAGAAGGACTATAATTTGTTAATTTTTTTCAAATGAAACAGCCATTTTTATTATTTCATGGGTTTTTTGTTTTTGGTACTTATTTCTATACTTTCCCATTTTACATTTTCATTTTTACTTATTTCATAACCCTCTCGTAAGAACCGGCTTAGAATTCGAGATAATGGCTACCGCGGTCAATGCATTTCTGTAGATTTTGTGTTAGGTCACTTTCGCCATGCCCAGGTCATAATCGCTCGTCGACGGTTCTTCAGGAAGCGTGTAACCTCATTTTTCACATCGTTGTCGGCAAAAACCGCCGTTAAACAAATGTTCCTTCACACTAGGAACAGATGGCTAAGAACACCGAGAACAGTGAAAGATCAGATGGAAAAGTCAATAGAGCATTTCCTGTCTGAAAGCAGTGTGGCGACTGTGCTTGGGCACGGAAAGAAATGTGTCGGTCGACTCTCCGCCTCCGCCCACTGGGACCATATTGAACATATTGATTTCAGAAGAGGCATCCGTTACAGTATCCCGTGGTTCCAATGCACTTCTTTCCAACGGGTAAAAGATCACACTGATAATGCTGTTAGACTGAAATAGTGAAGCAAGACCTTTATTGAGGGCCGGCATCTGCCAGCTGAACTTGCCAAAATTTCAAACGGGTCCACCAGCCCTAAGTGAGTTGGCATGCTGGGTGCAGATTGCTTTGAAGCTCATGTACATTAGAAAACAAAACAGCCCATAACTTTCTATTTGAAAGTGGCCATTTTTGGAAGGCATTCAAAAGGCCACATTACTCACAATGGAGCGCACATGTTGAAATTCAGGCAACGAGTTGTGACTCACGGTAGCAGTGCAAGGCAATCTCCAGCATTTTTGACCAGCTGTAGTGAGGTCTACATGAAAACAGCACATTTCTTATCTGCATTTAAACGATCGCCGGGAAATCATTGTGACGCAGCGTTACAGTCAGAAGCTAAGTTTATTCACTTTCTAACACTCTGACACATAACTGACACTCGCCAGAATAACCACTCCATACCACTTTTTCGTCATAATCTCGCTCAACCACTTTTTTTACTTTCTAGAGCTTTTTCCTCATGAATCCGCCAATTTTCACGCTTTCGCAGCCCTTTCTTTGCTTCTTTTTGCATCGTAACTTCCACTGATTTTATCAAACTGAGTTTCTCACATTTGCCCCAAACAGTGTCTTTTGACGTGGGATTTTTTCGCCCGAATAAAGTAGCATGCGTGAAGAGCTGGTCCTTCACACGTGCAAGACGAACATGTTCGACTGACATTGGCGCTGACTCCGGTTTTCCTTTGAGTTTTGAACAACCCACACAATTTTCAGTCGCCTTCCTTAGTCCAAATCAAAGACAGATGCATTCCGGACAATTTCGTTGCGGCTGACGTGGACCGATAACAAGAAATACCTGCTTTTTTCAAAGATCACAGTGGACTTAATCGAGTACGATTTGCATTTATTTTGACTGGACGGTTGTGTGGCTAGAAACACCTGCTGTGTCAACGGGAGGAACATACGCCGCTCAGAAGAAACTCATTGGCGGCCATTCGACCAAATGATACGAAGCATCATGCTGACCATCTTGCTAGTAAACATGGTTCGTTAGTTTTGTATATGGTCTATACTTTTGCTACTTTATCGTTTCGTCTTGAAGTTCTCAATCCCTCCATGCAATGTCATAAATGAGGAAAGTACCATAAAGTAGGGTGATCGCTAAAACTAGCGAACACTGGGAACAGTTGTTTACTTCACATTGACATGTGGCAATTTGATTGCTTTGAAGTACATGGAAATCTATTGTACTTGACAGCTGCTCTGTTATGTCGTGTTCTGCTGACTCCATGGACTTTGTAAACTGAATCTCTGTACCTGCGCCATTCTTTTTTAACTGTCAAGTTAAAAAGGGATCTGAATTCTAAACTCGAGTTTCGCATGCTCAAGGTTAGAGCGAGCTTTTATTTTCAAGTCGGAGCCTCTGCGAGTGGCGCACGCAATCATAGACATTGTACAGGCATCGAATCCCAGATCATTACCTCCAGGCCAACCAAAGGGCAGTTACTTCAGGGTTTGGTTGTTTGGTTTGAACCAGAATTAGCAAGGAATATAAAAGAGCCTTCTAGTACATCTGCTTGCTAGCGCAAGTCATTGTATAGGGATTCGAAATGCCACTGCGATTTGAAATGAAAGCCGAGCGCGGTGCGCGTCCCAAAGAAATTAGAATACTTTTCTTTATCCTAGGCGACTTATTGTCATGCCCTGAGCATTGGGAAGATCATCGGCATAAATGCATTGTGTTGGAGCGAAGTTACTTTGAAGGAAATAGTTTCATCTTGAATGAATAAATGAAGATTTTTATTTTACAACAAATTTCACCTCTCTTTCTAAATACAGTGGTCCACATTCACCCGGGAAGCAGTATTCAATACGATTTAGTGAAAAAAAAAACAAATAAAGAAGCACTTTTATTTTTGGTACTAAGATTTCGGTCCATGAACCTAACAGAATGATGCAGTGCTAGACACTTACAAACCCTCAGGATGCGCCATGCACTGGACCTCTTTTCGAAATTCTTCATGAACACGTAGTGCGTATAGCACTGATGAAAAACGATCACCAATTTCAGGGTACTTTTCTTTATTCACTGTAGGAGATGGAAACTGCCACTCTCCCCTCCACTTCCCACCTTCCCTCTTCTGAACCCTTCATCATTGTATTTTATTGTATCTACTCACCTTGGATCGAATGTGAAAAGAACTTGTCATGCCATGTACTTCTAATATGTGTGAAGTTATGGCTACACTCACTCCATCATTATTGCATTGCCATTATCTTATATTATCTACTTTTATCGCTAGTTAGCATTACCATTTCCACAGGCACACGAAAGTGCATTAACAGAGCCGGCAACTGGTATTGGTAACAATATTTGGCCCGCTCTATGAATTGAGAAAAGGCACACAAAGATCTATAGGGAATGTGCCGCATATTCGAGTTCCAATCAATAACGGCTGATCTGATTGTTTTATACGAAACCTAATAATCGTAGTTGAAATGTGGTGGTTAAGAGTTAAGAGGTTTGAGCGTTTCGGAAGTATCACATGCTCCTTCAATTTCAACTCATACTCCAGTCTTGCAGATTACAGACCGTACAAACTCGTATAGGAAAAAGCATTAGAGATTTTGAGTGTTCCTGTAATGTGAACGAAAAAATTCTTCATAGCCAAAAACTAAATTGGTTCTACGATGTGGGTGTCAAGTGATCCCTTTAGGTCGCCGTACGCGGTGACCTAGTTGTTCTGACTGCATTCAATCGAAAAATCCTTGTTTTTAACGTTTAAACAAGTAAATTCCTGCCTGGACGGATGTTGAAGTACTTTATTAAATTCATCATTTTCAATGGTAGCTGATCGCAATGAGATCCCTTCCTTTCGTCGCAAACTCGGTTCAATTCTCCATCACCTAATGTGCTCTACGGTATTCGATCCAACCTTGATTGCCTTTCAGATGCTTTGAAAACTGGCCATGATCTTTATAAGATTGTTTCAAATTACAGATGTCCACACTGGATTCCAGTTCTGGCCAATCATCAGCAAAGTTTGCTAAGCCAGACAGAAGTGGTAGTACGTTTGCTAACCCGTTGTCATTTGAAAATTGGACAGGCTTACCTGGACCATGGAAACTTATGAAGTGGAAACTATTTGACACAGATGAGTCCAAAATACCCGATGATGAAGCGGTGAGGTGATTAGGCTTTTCCTTAGTTCGTTGCTAATATTTCGGTCACCCGACCACTACATAAAGGTTATTTTCATCCCCTTAAGATCCTCGACCAGACTCTACCTGTCCATAAGATCACCAAATTCGAATCAGAGTCGAATAAACGAATGTTTGCTACGTGGCTTGGACATGCTACAGTCCTCGTACAAATGGAAGGAGTACGGTAGGGTATCCTCTCTGGGAGTTATTGTTGCTCAGAAACCATACATTTTTTGACGATTATCGAGCGATTCTTTTCATGCCAACAAACCGTATTATGAAGACTTTCCTCTCCGTTCTTCAGATTCATTACGGACCCAATTTGGTCAAAAAGGGCATCATTTTGGCAATGGATTGGTCCAAAACGTTACAGACCACCACCTATGGAGATTGAAGATTTGCCTAAGGTTAGTGTTACACGAATACATCATCAAAGTGAATAGCTAGGCTGTACAATTTGGTTTAAATCAAAACTTCCATGGGAATGGTCTGTTCCTTCACTTTTACATTTTTCCGAAGTGTCCCTCGATTCTCAGCTTTGTCGAATTTTCATGACAGACCGGCTCCTTTCACTTGTTTCAGATAGGATGGTGAAATATGAAAATTTGATTTGATTGGATCGGTTACAGCTTCACTTCGGAGTCATCTCGCACGATCACTATGACCACCTGGATTCAGAAGCCGTCGCTAAGATTAACAGGTACGGCTTGACGCAGTGTACTCCATAACTTTACCAAGTCTTATAAAGTTCGACCCTGAAAAACCACCTAGGTGGGAAACTGAAGTGGGGAGTCGCAAAAGTGCGTATCTTGAAGTCACACTTTGAACATCTCAGCCCTTAAATACGCACGCATTGTTGCTGTGAAAACAACCAATGATCTAATAAAAAGTATCCTTTTGTAAAACTTCTTTAGCTTGAATCCATCTATGCGGTGGTTCGTGCCACTTGGTATGCTGGATTGGATGACTACAATTGGGATTGAAAACAGTGCAGAGCATCCGAGAAAAGTTACTGAAATGGAGTGGTAAGCTCGGCATTTACAGTACGATAACTTTCTTCCGAATGTCGTTAGTGTTTAGGGGCGGTAGCGATTCATTTCGTGTAGACGAGACAGATGTGACGGTATGGTGCCTCCCCGCTCAACATTGGGGACAGAGAGCGATTTTCGATAGAAATCAGGTTAGTTGTAATCGTTATCCGGAACCCTAACAAGCTAACTTGCACTCTAACAAGTATACCCAGTAACCAAAGTGTCGGTGTTAGTTCTGGCGCTGAATACCTTCCATTTGTTGAATTTCTGAATTCTACTAACGAGAGAGCAGTGCTTCTATTCGATATATTAGTTCAGTAATGAGCATGTTTTACAAAAACTCCGTTAAGCGATTGTGGTCAGGATGGGCAGTGATGACGCCAAATCGTCGATTCTACTACACTGGTGACACTGGATTTTGCGAAAAGGAGTTTAAAAAGATAGGCGACCAGCTTGGTCCCTTCGATCTTGCCGCAATCCCCATCGGCGCATATAAGCCACGGTACGTTTTGAACAACTAATACTCAGAATTTTGAAGGTCAGAACCTGTTGTGTAATACTCCTCAGTGAAGTAATCAATTGATCAATACATGCTTTTCGTTTTCAGGTGGATGATGAAAGCGCAGCACATTGATCCTCATGAAGCTGTAGCCGTACATGATCTCGTGAAATCTAAATTCTCCATCGGCGTACATTGGGGTACATACCACATGGGATCGCATGAGGTGCGTGGAAATATTATAATAACTGGATAGTAAGCGTTTACGGAGAGTCGGATTTACTGTACCACCTCCAAAAACACCAAAAACAATATTGAGCTAAAGTGGTTCAATAATAGAAGAGCAATGTGGCTTGCTACCTACCTGGTCAATCGGGCTCAGAACAGATTTTCTTGTTTTTTGCAAGGTCATTCAACCTCATTGGGATCACCTAAAATCCCTTTAGTACAGAAAGGAACTCTAGGGAATTTGGGACTCTGAAATTTTTTCTTCCTTATTTTAACCATCTAAATTCATCTGTTTTTTGATTAACAGTCAGGCCATTTTTAGCATTATCTCGAACCCAAGAAGCTCTTGGAAGAAATCATGAATAAATCCAATCGTTCCACTAGTTTCGTAACCCTCGAAATGGGACGAATTTGGGAAGAAGAAACCGATAACAGCGGAACAAAAAGTGATTTGTAATTTCTGTATGTATGAGATGAAACTCAATAAATCTTTTATGGATTGGTTGTAAGCAGTTTTCACCTTAGCAACCCTATGAGATCATTCGAGTCGAGGTTTTTTGTCCTGAACTTGATCCTCTTCACCTCCAGCGGCTTGAGCTTCGCGCTGTCGCATTCGTTGTTGCAGTAGCTCATAGTACGTCGGTTTCTTTTCCTTTTTAATTGTTTCATCACTCTTCACGGCAGCATCCCCGACAGACGGCATGCTGGTTGTCTAAAATAAGACGCAAGCCCATATCAAACCTGGTGCAGAGAAATGATGGAAAAGGCTGTGTTTGCTCTTCTTACTTCAGTATCTATATTATCCTCGTCCTCTACTGCTTCAACCTTCATCGTACGATTGTCTACTGGATCTTCGAACTCAAGCTGGACCTCTCCATCTGGGGTAAAAAAGCCGACGTCTTCTAAGTTCTTTGACGGATGAGCCATGCGCTTCATACTGTATTAAAAAAATTTGGCCGTTACGACTAGCTACAGATATTATCTATATTAGCTCCAAGCTCCATGAGATAACACTATCTTTTTTTGCTGTCATTATCATTGTGAATAGTTCAACCTCAGGCCAGAGATTAGAATTTAACATAATCTCTTCTACTGAAAGAATCTTGTCTATTCCTCCTAGATTGAAGCAATGAATGAAGAACGGAGAATTCCTTTGGTTCACTTAATTCACGAAACTATACATTGAAAATATGTGACTTTGGTAAACGGTAATATTTCAGGAATTTGGGGAATAGTGGGGAAAGATGAATGGGAGGTTGTCTAAAAGAGCACCTAGAGGGAAGATTGAGGTGGGGATCTGTTAGTCGTTCAGCCTAACATTCAGACAAGGTCTCCTATTAGCGAATAACCAAAAAGACTTTGAAAATAATGAGTATCTGCAAGTCAACCCTAGTATCCTCACTCCCCTACATTTTCACTGCCATTGTCTTCCTGGAACTGTAGGTAACCCCATCCCTACAGTGTCCTCCCTGATCTAACCAATTCGAAACCGGGGAAAAGATTTTATGAGATTCGAGGTGTTTCCTCAGTGTTATAGTACCAATTTTCTCGGCAATATGTTCGAATGGAATCAACAAAAATTTGGAAAAGAAGAATTCTCATGTTTGAAAAGAGCCTAACGTAACAAAGTGGAGATTCAATCATTTTATGCGATCAGTACTTACGATATTTCAATGTCTCCTTCGCAGAGCTGATACGCCAGCCTATTTATCAAATCAGTGAGTACCCGGGCACTGAAATCTTGACCGTACAGCTTTCTCTGTAACCCTAAATTCAAACAGATGAGCTTTCGAAGGATATTTTATGGAAGTCCCTTGTCCTTTTAGAACGCATTTATTGTTACACAACAGGCCTTACAAACAGAACTACAAAAGTACCCTAAAATTCCATAGATAAGATCGGTTGAAACTACCGGTGAAGAATGAATGGGAATGACTCCAAACCCCGCCCACTTAATAAACAATTCATATAGAAAAATAGCGATNATCGCTATTTTTCTATATGAATTGTTTATTAAGTGGGCGGGGTTTGGGGTTAAGGGGCGGAGCTTCTTCTTAACTTCTTCTTCGATGTTTAATTTATCCATCCATCAAGTTAGAGGGTGACTGCATTCAATTTCAATTCCATTCCAATTCATTTTCACCGGTAGTTTCAACCGCTCTTATCTATGGAATTTTAGGGTAGTTATAAAAAGACGCTCACCTCTGTTCAACTCCATTCTTATTTGCGTTGACAACTGCAATATTTCCTTGCAATGAGAATCACGACTGAAGGTGAATTCTACAAATTCGTCTACCAGAACTGATTTCCAATCGTCACAAATTACCTGCAAAAGCATCTCACATAAAATAACCCAGGTAAATATTAGGCTTTAGGACCCTTTCGTGGAATTGAGGTTCCCAAGATTTTTGGAAACGGAAAACCGGGTAAGCAGGTATATAACCGATATATCATGCAAAACGGAGTAGCTATCCGCCCTTCACGAGTGTAATTGATATAGTGTAGTCGCGTTTACAATGAAGAGATTACCATCATCTTCCATCTCACTAGCCTAATTCGAGTACAATATTGGGCGATAGGCAAAAATGTTCGATTACCAACCTTTTTTGCAAACAACAACAGGTTTAATGCAGGAAGAGGTAGAACATTACAGATATATGGTTTTGTGGTTTCCAACAGCAGCCCATAGAACAAGATTTTGTGACGTACTGACCGTCCCTCGCTATCAGCGCGAGGATCAAGAGTTTCTGAAATCAGAATGTATTTGAAAAGAGTTATGAATCGTATGTGTACTCAGTATCCAGAATCGTCATTAACAGCGCTTCGTAACCACTGTTCAGAAAGGGCCTAGTCAATAGGCCGCTAGTAGAGGACAGAATTCCAATGGTTTCTGATAAAGTGGAAAAAATGTATTGTACCTGCATGATACTGCGCTATAGTTGAATTAGGATGGATTAGAGTGAACGGCTTCATTCGCGTATGCACAAACATCTCTTGACCATGCTGAATGGAGGAGAAACTGTAAGAGTTTGGTCATTATCCACATATCCAATAACCGCGGACTACCTGATATTTATTTAGGGGATCCGGAAAAGTGTAGTTTGGATATAGGCCAGCGGCTATGATGATCCGGATAACCTGAAGCATTAGCTGCACCCAGATTCGAAAAGAATGTCACTAACAACGCACCTCTGCATCTTTTCGGCGTAATTTATGAGTTCGACGGATCAGTTCGAAGTCCCTTTGCTTATAGCTCAAGAGGAACTCAACAGTTTTGACGTCGGCTTTCAAGGGATCCTTTTCGTTTTCTATAAGATGAGCAATGAATCTGCCACTGCTATTCCATCACCAAAGCTGAAATACCTAAATCTTCCTCCTCCATTTCATTGAGTATCGAATCGAAATGCTTATCTGCCCGTAAGACTTTTCTCGTTTTTTCTTGATTTCTGAAAAAAAGACTCCCTTTACTTTTCTTCCATCGAAATTCATTCAAATCGTTTACCTGGCTTCACGCTTCATATCTAGTAACTTCTTTCTATCTCCTTGATCAATTCTTCTCTGCCTTGAGTCGTCTTCTCCGAGCTCATGCGCATCTGGCTTCTCAATTAGCCCGGCATCTTCAAGAATTTGCCTAATAATAACTATAAAAGTTTTATTTCTAGAGAGAAGTCGTTCCATTCTCAACTTTCCGCTAAACAAGAAACTACTTTTGTGCTCGTGTTTAATTGGCTAATGCAAGAATACCTGTACTGAAACCGAAGTTTACTGATTTCGAACATCCGGTGCTCATCTATTCCATTTTCCAGCGCCCACCGACGAACTTTACCAGTTGTGCTCTTCTGCAGCATCCATTCTCTATAAGTATTAACTATTCGTTACAGTGTGGCCTCCTATTATCTAGTGATCCGAATTAGCCATAAAGCTTGACAATATGCTTACAGCACAGCATTAAACCATAAATGTCAACAAATCAGCGATAAAACTTAACAATATGCTGAACGGTAACAGAAAAACAGAAAATGCAACACAAATAACAAGAAATACCATACGGATATAATGGAAAAACATAATTATTAGGAAATATCCACAGTCGAAACAAAAGAAGGTAAGGGGCGAAAATCGAACCTGAATATCTCGATAAGCGTGAACGGATCACCCATAGAGTTTGTCAAACCTTCTCTTCTCTGAACCACATCGAGTTCCCTACAACAGGAGGAGGACTCAGAGATAAAGATAGATAAATATATAGATAGGATAGATAGAACAAAGCTAAGTTTGCTGCCTTGAGAATGGTGGTCAGACGTTTCGATCACTCACCGATAGGAACGATTAGTGAAAGGACTTTGCACAGACAAGCCGGCTGCAACTGTAAGAATCACTTCTACATGATCTACCACACAACCCAAAACGAGCATCTGGAATTAGGTCTAATGAAAACAATTCGGTTATGTCGACTCGAAAAGTCTGCTGCTATTATGTCAGGTACCTTGGCTATTGCTACATCAACTGGCAGCTTTGCTATAGTTGATCCCAAGGCTGTAAGCTGATTCTCGCGGTCCGGATAAAGTACACCCTATGAAAATACAAGATAAACCTCAATGTAATAACTAATTGCATTTCACTCAAAAAAAAGAAGAGAAATTGCAGCAGGACAAAGCACCTGGAACTTGAGGATGTTTAGCGCTTCATTTAACTTCTCCTCCTCAGGCCTCTCAATGAATGGGAACGTTCGTGGATCCACTGAAACATAAGCAGCTTCAGTTCTTGCCTGTTATTTCGACGAAAAATCACCTAAGTGAAGCTGCAGAAGCACTCCCGAGAGACTGATTTTAGTCAATTTAAAAATACGTAAATGGTTCAATCAAAGAAATCCTAAGAGAGTAACGAAAGGAAAACGAACTGAGACAAAGCTCTCCTATGTCTTTTCTGGAATGTTTACTGAAAGAATTTGTATGACGAATTCTCAAAAAGTATCCTTCTCGTTTAAATTGTTCCTGACAATAAACTTGAAAAATTGTTTGCATAAATTTTGATAAAACTATTCAAAGCAAACGCACATCCAAGGTTAAGGCTTATCATACGGAGAGCCATATCCTGTAAAGAGACACGGTTGATTTCCGATGTCGTAAAGTCCTCCATTTTACTATACTGTTCCTCAGAGTATAGCCGATAACAAATACCCGGTCCTGTACGCCCAGCACGACCTGGAAAACTGAAATATCGATTTCTCGGACGAAAGATCTCGGACGGACCAGAAAGAATCCACGCAAGCAAAACTATTAGATGATCGAAATACTCTTTAGCGAAATACCTTTCCGTTGATCTGCTGAAGCCTTTGAAACCCAGAATTCGCTGAGCTTTTGTGTTCCGCTACTGGTCTCATGTTTGATCAAGTTGACCTTAACAGTCATATGAGAAGCTGTCACAATTTGAAAATGCCAAGAAATTACATACTTTTCCGGAATCTATCACAAAGCGTATTCCATCGATGGTGACTGACGTTTCAGCAATATTGGTCGAAAGAATACATTTCCTTACACCTGACGGAGCGACGTCGAATACCTTATCTTGCTCATCTACGGACAATGTACTCAAATAAATAAATATTAAGAACATATAGGAAAAGCATAAAAAGCACTTACCTATGCAGCAAGAGAATAATCCAACCTTTTGTAAGTTCAGCATAAGTTTTCAAAGCTTCTGCAACAGTGGTTATTTCAGCCACACCATTTAGAAACACTAGAGCATCTCCACGCTCGGTAGAAGGAAACTGTTTGTCAATGAGCTGAATAGGTTCTTGAGAGAGAATTTCTTCCACAAATTAAAGTGAAGAGACTGACCTCGAGAATCCTGACGTACGGTTCGGGGTCTATTTTATGACTTTTCTTTTCATTCTCAGCTATGTATTGTTTGATTGGGTGATACCGAAGTTGAATGGGAAATAGGCGACCTGGGACCTGAAGTGCAGGTGTAAGGTGACGTGAAACCACAAGGAGATCAAATGTTCAGAAAAATTCCACAGTGATTATGAATTTCTTTGACAGGAAAATGAAAACGAAATGTGAAAACTGACAGATAAATGGCCCGAAATGAATTATGAGAGCTGATAGATAACAATTGATAGATAGCAGATACTACCTGATAGTTTCAACATGAATATAGAGGATTTTTTCATTTACACCATTGAATCCAAATATAATGCAGTCAAATTTGAACCCCTACCTGTACAACGGGGGCTCCCTCGAAGTAATTCTTGAATAACTCTAAGTTTATAGTGGCAGACATAAGAATAAGCTTTAAATCATCTCGCTTTCCAATTAGATCTCGAAGAAGTCCAATCAGAAGATCGCTACTTAGGTGCCGCTCGTGCACCTCATCAAGTATAACGACCTAGAAACATTTTGTTTCCTTCTATAATTGAAAAAGAACCTTTATTTAATCAGAAAATACGTAACGATTATAAGTTGATCTCCTTACATTATATTGCTGAAGAAGAGAATCGTTCTCCATTTGGCGAAGCAGTAAACCCTCTGTCAGGAAAAGCATTTTTGTTCGCTTTGATTTTGTAGTCTCGAACCTGATAAAAGAACCTTCAACACAGATCAGATGTTCAGAGGCAACAAAAAACGACACGATCTTGAGAAAGTTGAAAAGACACAAAGTAATTTGTGTTGCTAGTGCTCACCTTATCTGATAAGCAACCTCAGTTCCGTATGCGTTAAGAGTTTCGTAAGCAACTCGACGAGCTAGTGCAGTACAAGCGATACGACGCGGTTGTGTACACGCAATACCAACGTATCCGTTTTGAAGAAGATATTGCGGAACCTAATTCAAAACATCGAATATATTTCAGGGAAAAGAGGTTCGGGAAAGTGTTCGATTGAAATGAAAACCAAAAAGAACGCAAATTTCTGGTCGAGATTCTGAGGTAGGATGGCATACTGTGAACAATGAGCTGCACTTATAACCCCTCTTGACATTATCAGGTTGAGGTTGAAACATAGTGCATACCTGAGTACTTTTTCCGCAGCCAGTATCACCAGCTATTATGAGGACTTGGTTCTGAAAGTATGACAACACGAGTGGGTTAGACATGATTGATGTAAAACACAAAATCAGGATTGAAAACTTCTTACATGTTGCAAAAGCTCCAGTATCTCATTTTTCCTCTCAGCTATTGGTAGATCTTTTTGAGACTTTCGAAGCTCCTTCATTTTCTTGAACTTCAGGTCGTTAACGAAATCCATAGAGAGTTGCACAGCATATTCGAAATGTCTAATCATCCACGGTGGTATCTAGAAACAGTGTAGTTCAAAAAGTGTTTCAGTCTGGGGAAGTGTTGGGAGTAGAGAGAACCTAGCCCAAGAATAAACCCCTAAATCGAACACCTTGTCGGTGTGACTAAACTTTGTCCCGAGGATCAGTTCACGAGTTTATGATTTTAAAGAGTTGGTCCCCTCAAGTCTTATAAATATACATTAAGTGTAAATTTGAATTTTTTTAACGAAATACATTTCAGAATGGAGAAAAGTGTGTGTTAAAACAAAAAAACTGCACTGTTTGAACACAATATCGAATTTCAGAACAACTTACATGACTAAGGTGGTTGGGTGGTTCTTGGAAATTCCTTTGAGCAAAAACGAAGTATCTTTTGCTTATATCTTGTGGAATTCCATAATCATCACATTTGAGCCTCTTCAAATCGAAGTGATCTTTGCTCTCACCTCCATTCCTATAAGGCATAGTAATTCATTACAGGGCAAAACTATGCCACTGTAAAATTCCTGATTTCTAAAGAGCCTACCGCAGGAAACGGTTGAAGTAGTTGTTGATGAATCGTTTCTGAGTATCCAAACTCTCCTGACTGGCATCCTTGTTATCTGGAATTAAGCAATTACCAGTGAATACAAAATGAATCATACTATTCAAACTTCTCTAATAAGACAACAAACTATTTCTACAGACAGTGCATCCGTGAAAATATGTTTCCCCTCTTGAAGGCACTCAAAACGTCTCGAGAAAGTACCTCTTTCTGTGCCTCGCGACGGTCCTTCAGAAGCAGAACATCCAAGGTAGTGATTGAATAAGACGTTCTTGAAGCTATCGTATTCTTGCCCTGTCAATGAATACATGCATGTGCAGGACTTCAATTTCTGCGAAAGCGCGCCGTCTGATAGAGTGTGTAAATGTACGTCAATTAGGCAACAGAGCACTGGTGCTACGGAAACTATCTGACTGACCAATACGTTCTGAGAGATTGATCGTTTCATACCACCCGAAGTTCTTTGTCAGAATATGAACCTACCAAGGAGGAGGAGTGTAGCTAGGAAGAAAGAGTGTAGAACAGCTCAACCTGGGAAACCAGACTCTACTGAGACGTCACCTAATCGAGCTCCTCACCGGACCTCTATAAATGTCTAATTGGGACCTGAATCCCGGGGCGAGAAGTTGCAGAACTGTCCGTGCTTGTAGCTGCCGCTCTTCCCATCTGGGAGGTCGGTTGAGTCCATTTTACTAAGTCTTGCCCAGAATCGGTTCTCATTCATACTTTGCTTGTCACCACTGTGGCTAACTGCTCATCACTGATTATTATCTGAAACCAAAAATAATTCATCGCAATTCTTGGGCAAAAAACACTCTATCAGTGGTATAAATACTGTCGGATGCTCAGATATGTAGAACTCTGAGCAAGGTGAGGCTGTTGGCGGTCGTCTATGCTTAACACCCCCGATTCAATCCTACCGGAGGGGATCGTTTCCGCTGAACAGACTCTTCCTGCACCACTAATCAGCTCGAGTGACCAAATTTCTGCTACGGCAGGTGAGGGAACATCTTTGGAACATTAGAAAACCTTGATTGACGTCTCTATCTTTCAGCAGCTCGAGCATTGTTCACTAACCGTTTTAATCATACTCGTCCTTCTGACAGTGCTGCTTGCAGTAATGGCAAGTCTACGATCGAAGCACCTAACTCACCCAATTATCGGTAAGTTTGATTTGTGTCCAAAAGGAGTACAAAAGGAGCCTCCCTCATGACAAAGGCGATGAACTTCAGATTTCGTCAGACAGTGAAATTGGGTGCCGGGCTGGCTGCTTGCTCTTCTAATCCCACCGTAGGGCAGTCCGTCTGCATCTATGGGATGAGCTCACGGAAGGAGTAGATGAGCAGACAGCAGGGAGGGAAATTCTAATTCTGTAGTTGAGTCAAGTCTAAAGTACCGGTCAAGTTTCGCCCATTCTCAACACATGAGCAACAGAAGGTGTTATGTTTGTGCACTAAGGAGAAGTTTCAAAGTCCAAAACTTCTCTGCTGAAGCAACTCTCGGATTTGAAGTATCAGTCTAATTTCATTGCTCAAACAGCATCTATTTTGAGCTTTGATATGGCCCGATGATACGATTGAAGCTGTCTGCCTCACAACTCGTCCACAGATCGGTTGGTCTCTCAGAGATTCGCGCCGCAACTCGTTTGGTTAATTGGTGTTCGACATCAATTATAGCTGTTGAAGATGAAGTTATTGTTAGATTTCATTCAACGGTTACCAAGAGCCATGGTGCCACCGCTTCCATTTACTCAGGAGAAAGGCTTGGTGCGAGTAGCGGAGGTCGCGACGACATAATTTTGACGGAGCAACCCTTGAAGGCGCACCGATCCGTACTCGACAATTCAGGTATAGGTTAGATGGCAGGTAATGGATTAATATGTTCGTCCTTTTTTTCGAACTCTTACAGGCACTTATGCACTTCCAGAACTCGCAATAGATGGCGTTTCACCCGTCTAGAATGTGCCATGGGTGTTGCAGAGCCTGGACGCGCAGGGTATCACCCTTTCAAAAACTTTGGCAGCTGCTTTTCGGTTGCTATATTGAGAGAAGACAATGCGGTCTACTTGTATAATCGTTCATCTGTCGTCGTTTCTGCTCTCCTTCGTCCTTTTTCCGATCATTGATGTGGTGGTATCTGTTACCTACCTGTTCTCCAGCGCAGGTCCTATCTTTCGGGAGATCTGGTCTTGCGGATATAGCAGTAATCGTCTCAGACCGCAATAAAAAGAACCACATATGGTCTGGATTGATGTGGCTGAAACTCGAGGAATTGTGGACGTGCGGTTCAGTCGTAACATATGATCCCGAACACCGAGAAGGCAGGGAAGGGATGGTGGGTCAAAGCAGCGCTGGGCCAGTAATACTACATTATTGTTGAACATCTCAGTGACAAGCGCATGTTCATGTTGTTGGAGCACTACAGTCGGGAGAACGAGCATAGTTAGCGCTACGATGACCATAGTCAGGGTACCTTCTGGAGCCCCGCTGCTCAGGGACGCGGCCAGCGTAAGGTCTAAATGAACAATCTTCTTTTTCCATGAACTCTCTCCCTTTTGGTTCCCTAAATTCGGCTGTTCTAAGGCAAGAACTGTATACTTGTATCTGAATATTTCAGAGAATTACTATATGAACGTGAAGTAAAACGACTACAATCTCAACTTAATGAAACAGAAGATCAGTTAGTAAAAGTAGAATTAGAACAATCAGAGACAAAAAAGAAGATAGAAATTTTAATTGAAGAGTGAGTGCTCTAACCAAGTGGGTTACATCCTATTCTTTACGAAACCCGGTCCTCTCAGAATAAGCAGAAAAAATGCACGTATAAGAGATCTGGAAAGGAACGAAAAATCACACTTACGAGCGCAAGAGGACATGGAAGCAAAACTGACAACAATGAAGAAACAGGTTGATCAGATGCAACGGCATCATGAAATTCAAAGGGAAAAGGTGAGTATGGGAGCTGTTTTAGGGGGGGGGGGGAGGTCTATCACGTAGTAGTTACGTAAGGCAAGCATTAATTTTTGAGAAAGGTACTTTGAGTATCATCATCTACAATTTGATTTGCAGTCAAATCGCCACTGAACATGTTATTTGTAAGTATGGGGGGTCCCAAACGTCATGTTGCGTGGTGAGGCAACTAACCAGGGCACCTTACAAAAACATTCTCCCGACGAGACAACTAGCTAGGAATTGCCTATGAGCAGATCGCGATTTCTTCTACTTAGGGCTACGATGTTTGCACACTTGTAACGTTCGGCGTCAACTCTTCAATTGCTACTAGACGACGACTGAATGCTTCTTCCTCTGTGATCATCATTGACGAGCAACGGTAGCGAATGCAGGGCCAGCAATAGCGATGTGATGGGGGGTGAGATGCGACATGAGGACCAAGTGGTCGAGGGCGAAAGTTCAAAGTTTCTTCGCCGGCATCATAAATTTGGATCAGTACCTTGAAATCCAACAATGGGAATCGAGCATTATTTACGTAGTACTTCTCTTCGTTCTTATCACCAACTTGGAAAACTTGGAAGAGCCAATGCTGAAGCACTGCGAAGAGCACGTTGACTGATCCACTCGTTATTCCTAGCGAAAACAAAAATCTATTTTTGTTCCCTTGGTAACCTTATGATGATAATTAATAGGTGCAGAGCTTTTCACAGACAACATACTCCATACAGACATTCTATGACAACCGTATTTGAATACGTAATTGTTGATCCCGTTACATATACGACGCATCAGAAAAGAACCTTGGGCAGGGGGAGGTTTTAGGTTGTTCGGAGAGAAATGCGCGTTTGAGCTTCGAAAATTTTTTATAATAAAAAGGGAACTAAACAAGATCAATTCAAAAGCGAATCTCCATCACTATCAATGACTTGTTGCCAATGTCTACGCAAAGATTGGATTCCTCTTCTGAAGAACTCGGCCGGCTGCGACTCGGAGTAGTTTGACACCCAGAGTTGGACTTCTCCGCGGTCTTTGAACTTTTTCTCGGCCAGGTGCTGCATCGACCGGAACAGGTGGTAGTCGAATGGTGCCAGGACTGGGCTGTACGGTGGGTGGGGAGAGACTTCCCATACCCTATTCCTCAATCTTTTCCAAAATGATTTTCGCGACCCGTACCCGTGACCCGGCGCGCGACGCGACGGTGCGATACCCATTTTCCGCACCTGTTCGTCTTGCCAATTGACAGCACATGTTCATGGATGGTAGAGTTTGAGCAGCCAGAATGTGTTGCCGGTTCTCGAGTGGTTTGGCGTGGATCCAATTCAATGACCGACTTTAACGTTCAGTTATCAACGACTTGAGGCCGACTTGCATGTTCATCGCCCTATAAACTTTTGAATTACCGTTTTTAAAACCATGGAACCATCGTCGACACTGGCTTTCTGACAAGGCTCCTTCGCCAAATGCCTCAGATGATGAGTTCAGTAGCCGATTCGCCTTGCTTGATGTCATACCAAATGCAATCTGCAAAAAGAATTTTTAGTCAAGCATTTCTTAAACTTTTCTTTTTCAAAAAAACAAAGTAGACATAAACAAAAATATATCAAAAGATGCGTACTAAAAATCTCTTCCTAGTAGAGAAAGCTGTTTTGAAAAATCATGTATAGTGAGAGAGAAATAAATGGACAAATTCATCGTGCATTCCTTTCCGAACAAACTAATACTAAGCGATATGCACGTGTCTGTATTATGATGTCTGATGCATCATAATAACAGGCTCGGTTCACCCCTTGCTATCGGATTACTGTTTGAACAGTCGTTGCTTTGACACATAGTGTTTGTGAGTTTCTGGAGCTGTGAATCGTGAATTGATACTACTAGGAATAAAGTACTTGAATCGTAGAATTCGTTGTATATCCTTCATCATGCTGCCAAGCTATGGCCAATAAATGTGCCGCTAATTTTTTGATCGATTGTTTTTTCTTAGGCGGAGATGGTGTAGTTTAAAGTGGCAAACCATCATACAGGCATGGCCTGTAGATCGAATCCAGGAACGACATCCGCCCAGGCCAATAATGCCTTCTGCCGGGGTCGCTTAATTGGTACCAGAGCGCCTGGGAGGATAAAAACACTGACTTGTACATCAGTCGACTATCATAACTCAATGTATAGGCCACACACGCATTCAATACGCTTCTACGATTCTGAATGGAAGTAGAATGTGGGACGCAACCCGGGAATACATCTGCCTAGAACAACAATCAAAAGTAACGATAAATGATTCTGGTAACTTGTCAGCAGTTCTAAACAATTATTATTCTTGAAAAAGTATTGTAATGATTACATATGACCTTATGAGCAGTACTGGACAATGATAGCAAAAGGTACAATACAGTTTATGAACACTATATACAGCTGGTGGTGTGCAAAGAGAATGAGGACAAGTGGGAAGCAAAAAAAGCTGATCTTGAAGAAACACTGAACAACAAAAACAATTCTGTTCTTCTGCTTGAGAGGAAGCTACGAGATGCCAATGACGAACTTTTGAATCGCTCCAAGGTGAAGCTACAGATATGTTCGCACAGAAATCATATGTAGCATAGGTTCGAGTATTTTTGGATTATGGTGTCATGGGTGGCGTAGTTATCAGTATATGGTTAATACGTCCCTAAACCTTTGTTTTTTCAACAAGTCGATATCGTGTCGAGCCTCTATTTAGAAAAATCCTTCCCTTCAGGACTTGAAGAACGCTGAACTTGAGTGTACACGGCTTCAGCGGGAACTGGAGGAACTCAGCAAGAGCAACGACCTGCAGAGAGAAGAATATCAAGCGTCAGTCGCAGATTGGAGGAACCGTTTTGAGAAAACGGTAGGTTTCGGAGAATGAGAATGAGGTTGATGAAAAAATCCTCTCGACAAAACCGATAAATGACTTAACTTCCTTTTGTTTTCTCTGATGAAGGGTTGTTTGAACTCCTGACGAATTTCAGATGGCGGACCAGCTATCGTGCTGTGCTGCTGACATAGAAAGAAATGCAAATGTGGCTAGAGAAATACGTGCAAAAACGGAAGAGGTAAATGTTCCCATCAAAAATCAAAAAACAAAAGAAAAGAGGATCAGCATAAGTAGGACAAGAGGTGAATGCGAAATTGCTTATCCTAGAGGAAAAACGGGCCGGTTGCAGAAAAAATCGCTTCCTCAGGAGGTGTGAAGGCTGTACGTATTCCGTGTGTCGTCCAGAACTATTTCTGATTGTCATCAGAAATGATACCAGATGGCTTTTGGGAAAAAGGGATCCGATGGCCTAAATCCGAGCAGCGGCTGCTCTTGGCCGTCACTACGTGTTACTTGGTCTAGGGCCATGTAGCACGTAGTGGCCCCATGTATGACGAGACGATTGGTAGATTTTATTTATTAATAGAAACAAGTTCGACTTTGCAGATTGAAAGGCTCAACCAATTGTTAGAAAAAGAGAAGCAGCATGTCGAATTCGTTGTGGAGGAGTGTACGGCAAAGTCTCGAGAGGCAGATGCTGTAGGTTACTAGAGAAATTAGAAGTAATACTGCTCCTGAACCAAAATCTCGTGCTTCTCCGCTGCTAATCACCTCTATTTCATTCTACCTAGAAAAAGCACCTCTCGATCTATTGACTTCGGCGAAGTCCTTTTTGAATAAGTATCGTCTACTTTTCTACGAAGCCCTTTGCGGTTGCTTCCCTTGGGCTTCGATCTGCAGTGTCTCCCTTAACATATGATTCTGTGGCCTTCTCAATACGAGCGGATACCATCAGATACACTGCATTCTCATATTCTATTGGTGAGGGGCTGTTTGTATGACCGTTCTAACGTCCTCGTAACTAAGCCAGTCCAGTCGCGTTCAACCGCAGGATCATCTCAACATCCTCCCTGCTGCGAGTGAGGATGTGAGTGAGGTTGCCTTTCATGGTTATTTGCCATCGGGCAAGCCCCCGCCGCTGCAGAGCTACAGTCAAGTGCTGGTCCTGAGAAGAACAATGGTAAAGTAGCAGCAGTCGTGGGAGGATGGGAGAGTTGATGAACAATTACGACAGGAAATTCCACACGCTGGATTTCTTACGATTTTAGATGAGGTCGAAACTGGAGAGTTTGGAGGCAGAACGAGCGCGCCGTGACGAACTTGAAAGGAATACAGTGTGCAATCGTTGTGAAAACGAAAAAGAGAAGGAAGAAGAATCCATTGAGCTGGGTCCTGCTAAAGCTCGCATTGATAGGGTGGGCTTTTTTGGTTTTTGTAAAAACATCTACAAATATCCTGTTCAAATTAGTGTTTCATACCCGATTTCTAGGTGTTTACACTATAGCGAGCCAAGGACATAAATTAAAATAAAATAGCATTATGTTTTTGGCGTTCTTCAACCCCATTCTTGGGCATCAATGCGCTTCCACATTCGACTCCCACTCCAGATCGTATTGCACTTTGAATGAGTATGTGGCCTACACAATGACCTACAGTGGTCAGCCGGTGTACAAGTCAGTACTTTTATCTTCCCAGATTAGTCTATTACCGATAGCCAACCCCGAAGGGATGGTGCGCTTGGTTGTTTTTGGGCGGGAGTCGATCAGGGATTCAATCCACGAACCGTTTGTGATAGTGCATCACTCGAGACTACACCATATGTAAGAAGCAAATTCAGCCAAATGAAAACTGTTCTACTGCAATGCTGATTCTACCTAATCGACTTGATTTTTTTCCGCATACCTGGGAGACTCAGGGCGGAGGTGGTGTAGTAGCAATTGGAGCACTGTTAATTGGTACCAAACTCGTCTGGGAGGAGAAAGCATGGCTTGTACATTGGGTGGCCACCATGTTTCATATTGGGCACGCACTCAATGCGCCACTACGATTCTGAATCGAAGTCGAATACGTGAGGGCACCTCTCAGCTCGAATCGTACTCGTGCTTTTCAGGCACAAGTACACCTAAAGTCATTTACATTTAAGACTTTCACTTTACCTGAGAGTCGACATAGTTTCAGCTTGAAAGCGAATTGTCCGAACGAGAACAATTGCTGTGTAAGAAAAATGAAGAATTGGAAGACATAATGTCCGAGAAAAAGAAAATTGATCTCGAAAGAGAAAAGGCTATGAATGAGTTAGAAAGGAAGACCGAAAGTTTAAAAGAAGCTCTGTTCATAATGGATGGGTTACGTGAAGGAATCACTGGAGTTATGGCAGGATCCGGTAGCGGAATGCCTACAGGAATTGAAGAACATGGAGAGGAAGTCCATAGTCAGCTCTCTCGAATAGCCATGGTTGTTCAGGAGTATGACAGGCGTTTCAAACATTTGGAAACCTACCTCACAGAAGAAGACAGACAGCAACGATGGCCTGTCTATGGAGTGGATCTGACAGAGACCATTAAAGATCTTCAGTACAGAGTGGGTTATTTGTGTGGTTGGCCTTATAGAGTAAACGAAACGATTATGTGTCTTTGAAGCTTTTCGCTGCCAACCAAAAGATCGCTGCGTTCGAAAAAGAGAAGGTGGACTGGAAAGACTCCATGCAGCAACTGGAGGACAGAGAAGAGTTGGCTATGCAAAAGGTGACGAGCCTCATTCATGCAACAAGCATCACAGGGCTATTATCACTTTGTCACTAGCTATTTTAGATCACGTCAACCTCTTTACTACTAGACTGGTTAAGCTCCACTGTAAGTACGGGGAGCCTCAATAGTCTAGTCACTGCACCCTTCTAACTCTTTTTATCAACACTTATTAGTTGTTATATTTTGATATTACTTTTCATCAGCGATCCCGTCATGATCCACATTAAACGCTAAGGCTCCACCTCATGTGTGGATAACTTAGATGCTGTATAAACAATTCTTCCAATGCCTCTTGTCATACTTTATCAGCTGCTATCAGTTTTTGTGATTTGATCGTTGCTTACCTACTGTTATCACTGCTACCAATTATATAAGATACTATCGGCCCTAGTTAACACACCAAACTACTACGAATTCATCGCTGATACGTACTTTAATCTGTAACTCTGCTTTCTAGCTTCCCGTATCAGCTCTTATCTGTTACTATCATTTTCTATAACTCTTAGCTTGCATTCAGTTCTGGCGCTCGAATCACAATGATTCCTGAATGATTCATAAAAAAGGCGTCGATTGTTCTGAGGGTCTCCTCTTTTTGGAAAAATCTTCTATCACCTCTTGTCAACTATTCTCAATTTCTCTGATCTGCCGTCAATGGTTCCTTAATTCTTCTGTATCCTTTCGTGGTGTCAACGCTGAGTCCATAGGTCCAAAGTTGTGGAATTTGTGAATTTCATGGCGTAGCGATGGCCACGTTTTCCTCGGAAGGGGTTCATCTGGGGAACAGCTCTATATAACTCTACATAACAAATTGTTGAGTCATTTCAACCATTTCCTCTTCGTTTATTTAGAATTCGGAACTGACCAATGAAGTGAATAACCGGCTTCGTGAGCTCGATGGATTGAATGAGGAGAAGGTGAACTTGGAAAAAACGATCTCCTGCTATCGCTTAGAACTTGGATCAAAGTCAGTGCAACTTGAAAAGATGACTAAATCGGTAAGGATTTGTTTGCATAGCATATCTTAAGTCTGGCGGTCTCCGAAAATTAACGACCACTCGGTTCAGGTGGAAGAATTACGGAAGGACAACACCTCACTTCTGCAGTTGATTGCAACCTCAAAAGAAGAATATGACAATGAAAGAAAATTATCGAAGCAGCAGGAGGTAGGTGATTTGGTGGCCATGGTCATACTGTTTTTTAATTTGAAGATTCCAAAATACGTCTGATCAAGTGTGAATCCTTTCCGAAAAAGCCAAAAACACTTTTTTTGTGAAAGGCACATCCAAAGGTGTTCTACGCAGCTCTTACTGTAGGATCAACACCTGGTGGAAAATGAACAGCTGCGCTCCTTGAGCATGAAGAAGGAAGAGGAGATGCAAATTCTGCGGGAGAAGATCTCAAGCTTTGAGGTATTCCCCTTATATTGTCCGATTGTTTCTCCGTTTATACAATTTTTACTTCAGAATGAGCTGAAGCTATGTCAAGAAGAGAATGTTCAGCTCCGCCTGAAGATTAGCTCCCTGGCAGAGGAGAACGAAAACTACAAAGTTGTCGTTGACAAACTGAAATCTGTAGAAATCGAGGTACAAGAAAAATTATTAGGAAAACATCGCGACTGCGAGGAGATCTAACGAGGTCTCTAAGCTCAACTAGGCGTCGAAACCTCTAATTTCTTGTGATTGCGTGACTCGAGGGATTTTAAATAATGGTACATCAAGACCTGAGGGTTGTAGAGGCCACATACGCCTTACTTCCAATCGCCTTTGTTGATATGGGCGCGTGTATCATACGAGCGGAAGGGAGGTTGTGAAGAGTAGAATGAGCTGAAAACTGGGTGCAAATAAACTATTTTCGTGCCAGTATTTTCGTTCCGCAGTCTTAATCAGCTCCCCCATGAAGATGGTGAATTAGTTGAGCTAAATGATCATTTGTGTGAGAAAAGTAATCTTCAGAGTTATGCTGAGTCGAACACTTCCAAAACGAATTCTATGCTGCAACTGTCTCGTCAGAGATTTCATAGTGCTCCGACGTCACCAAGGTAAGTGCTACGAAACTGTGTTGGAAGGCAGAGCTGACTTTGAAAAACAGTCAGCTAGCTGCCGTTTGAGAGCTGTATAACTGGCGTATTCGAAAAAATGTAGCACCACGACCTTAACGAGCCTCGAATAATATTTACTTGGTTTTGATGCTACCGTAGTAGTGAAAAATGCTTTCACCGGCGTGATTGAATCAGGGCAACCATGTTCTTTACTCATACCGCTGCACTCTTCTGACACATTAGCCATTCACATCAAGCCATTGTTAGTTGTCAGCTTTTGATTGCTGTCGAACGTTCTTCAGTCCTTCCATTGATCATAAGGACGAGCTTGCGCTACTCTCTTTGTATAATTTCCCTTCGAATCTCCTTTTTAAGATGCGTTTATGCGAATCACGACCCGAGCGCCATACTGACGACACGTAACTCCGTCAAAGGTGAAGACAATCTGAGGATTGGAGTGGGCCACGAAAAAGTCTTGAGAGCACATCGGGTATGCACGTACACTCTATTACAGTTCGAAATACTCCTTCACAACTAAATTTGACTTTTCAGTTCTTGAAGCGCACCTCCTTCTACCAAATCAGCAGAATACAGACTGGATCAAAACATAACTAATCACCACATCACCACTTCCCCAAACCCTACACCAAAATTCGGAAGTACTCAATAACGGGTAACTTTAGATTACAAGTGGGGCAATCACTGTGAGCATGATTGATATTTATAAAAACCTAACCTATTATGAGTGCATACATACATATATCCGCGAAAATAGACATTCTCTTTGTTTGCTACGAAATCTAACAAACTCGATCTTATGACAATTCTCCTTAGATGTAAATAAAAACAATGAATTGGAAACTCACATTACTAGAGAATAAATGCTTTATAATGTCGCTTAATATCTTCTTACCGTTGTTACTGTAATTTTACCTTGGTAAAGCATAACAAGGCGAGTCTTAAAACAAGTTTTGTTCCTATTTCTCAATCGAGGATCCCTAATATTTGAGAAAGGGACTCGCTGGAAAAGCTAAGCTCCAGAAAGGACCAAAAAAGGCCTTTCGAACGATCCAGTGGATAGGCTGGATCGTTCGAAAGGTCTTTGTGTAAGGAACAAAACTCTTCCGCTTCAACAAGAAGATGTTCACTGTGCTTTTTATAGGTATTAAGGGGAAAAGTGCGAATATGTGTTGAAATGGTACTCCTAGTTTGTAGTTCTTGTGCTGTTTAACGATGTTTGACAGCTGTTATGTTTGAACAATGCTCGAAAAAGTTAAACAGGAACGGCTATCCTTTTTTCACATATTCGCATAGTCGGGGTGGATCGAAAGTTGGGCTGCTATAATAAGATTTCTAGTCACTAATCCTTTGTGCCCGCACTCTAGCTTCAATCGCCTTTAGCCCCTCTCACAGTGTGCTCAGCTTCGGTCACTTCTTTGATTGGTTAAATTTAGTCTCCGGATCAAGGCGAGGGTCAGAGGTAAAAGGTAAGTTTATGCCAAAAAAGGATGGTGCGACAAACAGTCATGAGAAGTGAAGTCGCATATTTAAAAAGAACAGGGGCGGAAGGGCATATTACAGAGAACAAAGACAGACAAGAAAAGGAAAGGTGAAAGGAGATTCAGTGAAAAGGGATTTTCAAGAGACAGTTGGAAAGGCCTGTTGTGTATACCCGCCCAGAAATTCGAGTGCTTTGATTGTTTTGTAAAATTCTTACCCTTCCTTGTGGGGCACAGATGCTGAACACTCAAACAGATGATTGTCCCGCGAAGACAAAAAAGGAATTTTGGGAGGTTTTCGCAATGCAATTGCACACGACTAAAATCTCGTCTAAATGCCGCGCCCATGACATACAACTCTTGACTTCGACTTGTCCAAGGACTCATATTTCGCAGAATCTCGCGCTAGTCTGGGCAAACCTTGTGACGTTTAAAATTGAAAGCGGTACTTGCACAACAACTTTAAACGTCAATGTCTGTTGTTCAGATTGAATACACATGAATTCGAATTCAAGCATTCGATGAGGTGTGTATCACTTTGGATACAAGTCTCTCGTTTCTGAGAAAAAACTGACCTTCTTCCACCGAACGGTTTCACTTCTCAGTAAGACATCTCGTGAGGTTCTCTTCATTCTTCTCTCCCTCAGCTGCATTTTATTCATCGGGAGGAACTACTCAAAACTCCCAGTTAAGGTTACTCTCTTTAGCAAATGCGCTCGCAGGTGCACCCTCGTACCTTCCCAACGGGCCAGCTAGAGATCAGAGAATCGTTGTTGGCACCAGCACCATTTAACATCCCTTCAGAGTTCATCAACTAAGAATCCAGAGCATGGTGCTATAAGAAACCCTTGAAATGAACAGAGAAGTACATTTGCATAGTAGTACGACGGTTATGTTGTTGTATCGCTGTATAAGCGAGGAAGAGGTAGCCGGATATGTCATGCGCATGGAAGTTAGTGGTGTTCACACAGCAATTCCAAGGAAACCTGTAGAAAGCTATATAAATAATCTGGACCTCTGCGAAATCTTTAGCAGATACTCTCTGAACAACATGATGAATAGCTGCCATCGCAGTCCTTTTTCTCTCTGGGAACGACTTACACGTAGCAACAAATGAGTAGCAGCCGATTTTTTTTCCTAAAAAGCACGAATTGTTCGAGCGTTATCGATTATGAATCGGTAAAATCACAACGTTTTCTGAAGTTAAGGTTCAGAAGGCGATGTGGGTGCTCGATCAGAGGCGTGGTAAAAGAGTAAAGATGAGAGTAGGCTATTTATTTTCAAGTGACCCCCGCATTTATAGTTCATGGATCGAAATCCAGACTGATAACCCCCGAGTCAATCGAGCAGTTTACAGCCTCGGAGTCGGTTTATTGGTTGATGGCCCAATTAGTCGAATAAAACTCTGACATGTACATCGACTGGTCCCCGCGATATAAATGCAAACACCTCAACGGCTTTGGAAGGAAGTGGATTACGTGAGCGGATTCCAAATTATGTAGGATTAATCAACACCCAAAAACATTTCTCATGCTTCTTACGTGTTCCTTATGAGTGACATAGAAGAGGACATAGTTTTCGGCCTTAGTCAATCTCGTCTTCGAATGCTCCTTCTTCCTTCCCCTTATTCGACTCCAATTAGAATCGTAATGACGCTTTGTATGGTATGTGGCCCGTGCAAGAAATCGAGGATGCCGTTCCATCTGAAGCTTATGTTTATCCTTCATAGACAGACTGCTACCACTGAAGCAACTCCAAGGGAACGAAATGTTTTATTGGAGGGTGTCTGCCTGGATTCGGTCTCGTAACATGTGTAGGATAAAGTGCCACATTCCAACTCCATCCCATGGGTAACTGTTACATTGCTAACAACAACGATTAAAGCAAAGATAGGGTAACTGTAGGTAAAATTTTTAAAAATTATAAAACCTGCGTCTGCGAAGCATTGAAATTTCCTAGGGCTAGGATAATATGAAGGATAAAGGTGCCACATTCCAAGTCACTCTACTTAGAATAGAGTTGAGATGAGTTCAGCCATGCCTTCTGAGAATACGTAGCCTGTTGATCGCTCAGGGCTGTTTGCGTAGAAGTAAGTAAACAGGTATTCCAACATATGATGTTTTCTGCGAAGCCTTGTCGCATTTGAGCTTTCGAAAGCCTTTACGATTGAACTCGAAAATAGGAAAATCGTGATTCTTCAATGTCTTATCAATCAGAGCCTTTCTAAGGTTTTGTAAACAATCAAGACAACGAGGTAAGTAGGTAAACAAGAAAGTGCATATGTAAATAAGGTGATGTCAGTAAATGAACTGCAGGATGAGTCATGCTTTGCTTCGGGTGGGGCGCGGCAACAGCTGGTGGCTGATGTCTCTCGCCTTCGACACCGCCGAGGCCGGTCGCTTACTACGTCGTCATCGTCGTTCGACCTTTTTCCCAACGAAAAATGCCTTCATTAACAATTACTTCAACAATTCTGATATTCTCCCTTTTAACTTCCTTCGCTGAAGTTACTGGTGAGTTTTTTTTTTTCGAGTAATAGGCCACTTGTCCCTTTTACACTGCTACATCTCGCATTCCTCTTCCCGTATCAACCGTTAGATCTTTTACGGTGACACAATTGGAATCGGAGGGAGAAATCGATTCGCTCCTTTTTCCATGTAGTTCCATTTTGTTTTCATGTTCATATTTGTATATTTTTTTATTTATTAAACTGGATTTTGTCGATTTCGTCATATTTTCTTTCGCTCTCTCCCCCTATATGCATGGATCAAGGCTTTTTTTTACAGTCAGTCGCTAATCTGCTGAATAAGCGGTTATCAATGAGATTAGGGAGCGACATATGTGTCCTAGCGGTGGGCGTTCCAATGTTTGGTTGACAGCAGCTGGCCAGGTTCTAGCCCGAGTTCTGAGAGTATGACTCATCGTGGAATTCGATATCCGACCGGGTTCATTCAGAGATCAGCAACTCGTTTTTATCGTTGGTATTGAGTTCTGAAACTAGCTCCCTTTTCTCAGGACTTGACCGGCTTTTATATTGAAATGTCCCCAAAAATCATGAAATGGTCTTACACACTTAATCTGGACCTAATTGATTGCCGAGCGATCTTCCTACCAAAGGCTATACTAATTCGAAGAATCCATGCTATAATTGTTTGATGGTATGACTCACAATAGAACGGAGCGAGCCAGAGATTCCGTTACTTCAATTATCCGGCCCGAGGAGGAGAGTTAATAAGTCTGCTGAAAAACTTCGTCGTTCCCTGTTACTTGGGTCGATTCTGGATGTTAATACAGCCCTGAAATAGCTTTTTTCACTTTCAAGGTTTTCTCAGTCATAATTTATTCATTTATTTATCTACTTATTTGTTTATTTATTTATTTATGTATTTATTTACTCGTACGCTCCATTGTAAGCGCCACTACTAGTACAATGTATAGGGAGCGAACACACCATTTCTATGGAAAATAGATGATATATCAGTTTTGAAAAATAAAATCGATCTTGCTATAGCATGACTGCGTCTTTAGGTTCGGAGGTGTACATGTGAAATGCTCGGCTATCATTAATTTCCATGACCTCTTCCCTATCCCTTCAGCTCATTTCCACTTTCTGTCCTGATATGGCTTGAAAAATTCTATAGATGAAGCATTTCCGAATTTGAAATGAATCCAACCCCATTCCGCAATATATCGTGACTGATGGTGTAGAGGACTTTCGTTCTGTCATTTACGTCTACCCTCTTGAAGAATTGTACAGTAGCTCCATCTTGGTTCATTTTTTTTCGTTTCGCCAAATTCCCAATTTGTCTGGTTCAGTAAAAGCAAGCACGTGTCCGAGGTTACCACGTGAATCGCCATCAATTTGGCATTCGTGTGTTAGCCTCTGTTATTGACTAGAAGAAAACCGGCTAGAATATGTACCCATTCCCCTTTGAGAAAATACCGGAAAATCGAAAACTTCCTCTAAAACGTACGTCAAGGTAGCTTTTTGCTATTGACCTAGAGCTACCGTGTACCTTCATTGACCTTGAGGACTTGTTGACAACTTCTTACATCCTACAAAATCCTCATTTGAGAGGTGAGGGGTGGTTCATGAGGGGTGAAGGAGGCTTTTTCTGGGAGCTGTCTAGGGAAGGAGATAGGATCGAGAAATTTTTTCCAATTAGAGCAGACAGAAAGCTTATTACAGCAGTAGTTTCCTTACATTGACGGCATGTTTGCGAGAAATATTCATTAAAGGTGATGTTAGGAGTTTCATTTGCTGGTCTTCACAAGATTTTTTTATTGGCTATGACATTACTGTAATTCGTAAATATGTAGGAGAAGGCCTTCTTTCTATAGTACATAGTGTGTCATCACTCAAACTTATTTATGGCTGTGATTGTGAAAGCTGCCGTATGACTCATTCAAGATGGATGTTGGAGAGGTGAACGAGGTATGAGCAAATGTTGGAGGTAACAGGTGTCCAGACCTCAAGGATCTCATTCCTCTCGTGCCACACTAAGTTTCATTGCTCACTGATGACTAATCGGTACCAAATCTACCTGCGGAAGTGAAAACAACAGATTTTCAGGTTCTTTTGCATATTCATATAATCTGTTAGGCAATTTACCCCTCGACCTTCATACTCTATCGACGTCTTTTCGCTTAGAACTAGGAATGATTGAGAGTTCTCACTTCATCTTGGTTCATTCCGTGGTAACGCGCAGTAGCGGTTATATCCATAAGTGTTCAGGAACTTCGATGTTTTCTCCCCTTTTTAGCTTGACTTTAGCTTTTTTTTAGCTTTTAGCAATGTACTTTCGGAAATTATTTGTTACCGGTAAGGAGGTTCTGGTGGAGTTCTATAATGTAAGTAGCACTGTTGCAACGTTTACAGTCAGGCGATGGAAAACCCGGTCTGATGCCCTTTTGAGCTTCCCGTTCCCCGAGCTCCTCCCAGATAATTGTATGAGATCTAACCAATGAGAAGTCGCTTTGTTTTCCTTCTTGCTCCTATAGCAAACTACACCAGCTTCAAAAGCCACTGAATAAAAACCGATGGGTTGGGCTGCGGCAAGAAGATGTTATTCACTATTGGCTTCTCATGACAATGGCTGACTAGAACCAGGGTCATGAATAGGCAAAGAATCAAAACAGCTGATCAATTTACTCGCAGAAGCAATCCATTCAATTTGATGAAACCACCCACTGAAAGGCAAATTCTCCATATTGCTCGATCCATGCTGAACAAATAGTCTCTATAACGGCTGGTTATATCGACTTTACGAGGATGGGTTCTTGTGAAGATTGATCAGCTGTTTTCAGGGAATTTTTGTTGACAGCAATTGAGTATCTATTTTATTGCTCTTTTATTGTCTACTTCATTGTCTATATTGATTATTAGGCCCGTAGTCAGGGTGGCTGAACTAGTTTCAGCGCAAAAAAAAAAATTTGGTGACTATTGATGGGGATAAGTTGTGTACCCTTTGAAGAAAAGAAATCTCGGTCCTTCATCGTTTCAGTCGTTTTCTACTCTGACCAGTGCGTTGGGCACCAATCGCCCTTGAATTCAAGGAATTTCAAGATCGCTAAGGGCAAGGTGGCTCCGCAGCTTCGCTCTCTCTAATTTTTCTACTGCGGATTTTCCGGCACGACCAAATTGAGAGTAGTTTTATACAATAGAACTACTTAGTTTTATTTGTACATGAATCTATTCAGTATGAGATAGATGCAAAAGAATGATAAGCTAGTTGGTAGGGTGTTGCTAATCATAACTCATACCGATAAACAAGTTGCTTCATTGTATCTCCAAGTAGACGAGAACACTCCATGTCAGCAGTCCCAACCACAGCATTATTCTTGGTTCTATGTTTGTAGAGGTCATTTGAACAGTTCATAGAAATTAGGACTGACTTGTCTTATTCTGGATGTCTGGAAACCATGTGTGGTTTTAAATAAGTGTTATCGGAGACATGCTTGGTACTGTAGATACTTTTTCGCTAATCACCATAGTACCGTTTAACACTCCATGTTCTGGGTTTTGAAATACTAAGTACTTTTTTTGGATATCCTCATATTATAGTATCAGAGCAAGGCTTACATATGGATGGCTAAAGTTTTTGGCGTTATGGAATTCACCCTGCATTCGATCTCCATTTAATATCGAAGTGGCGTACATATGTGGCCTGCTACAACGACCTCCTGTGGCCAGCCGCTGTAAAAGTCGTTGCTATTAACCTCCTACCGATATCCAATCTCGGAAGAGCGGAAACCTTGGTTGACCCCCTTCGTGGGCATAGATCCAGTGCTTAATCTCCAGATTATACGTGCAATTTGCCACTACGCTACCTCCGCCCTTTTAAGCAAATATTGAATCGGATCGCGTTCTGATCGCCATCATTGCTGTTCAACAACTTGCACTGTGAGGGCCACATTACTAAGGATATCCGAAGGAATCTGAAAATTAAGCGTGCTTCATTTGGCTCATTGCAATGCACGTACCGTTTTTTGAAAATTTTGCCAATGAAAACGCGATCTATAGGATGTATGTGCAGTAAAGTTGATAGACATAACCTCTTCAAGGGTAAATTCGAAAAAGTCGTTTAGGCTAAACCACACACACCTGCCTTAACTTTTTTAAGCGAATGAATAGTGAAACCTGACAGAAGCTCCTTAAGTCATACAATAACCGGGTGAGAACATAGAACAGATTTCTAATAGTGCAAGCATGGATTAATGACCTTTGCGAAGATCCCATCAATCACGCATTGGATTAAAAAGAATTGTTGTCCCAAAATGAGATGTCTTTCAGAGAAAGAAGACGAGAAGATGCGACGAGGGCCCGAAGGAATATTTTTGGTATCACCGTAACAAAAGATATTTCCATTAAACAAATCGTGGTATTATCGAAAATTCTTTTTAATCGAAGCGAGCTCTAGCTGATTGTCAAGCTCATCGAAATTCGCCCTTGAAAAAAGCACTATCACAAATGCTTTTCAAACGAGTAGATATCATATTGCGACTTCTGAAAGGTCTCTCAAAGTACAGGTTCCAAACCAGCTGTCTGCTTTCGTTAGACTTGTTCTTCCAGCGTTACGACAAATTTCATGAGAGCTTTTGATTTGATAGGGTCATCGTTGCTTCCAATATCGTAATGAATCTAATGGCATTTCAGTGCTTGAACTCCCTGAAGGCCCATCAAACTGGAGCGATGAGAAGGAAATGCGTGCTCGAATTGCCAACTATACAGCCGAAAAGTTCTCTCACAACTACCATAAATGGAACCTGATTACGATGCCAACCAACTCATTAACAAGTCGTTCTGCAGTGCGCGCTAAACGCGATGGCGGACTCGTTTCGGGTCCGATTGCCACTGCCGTAGTCACGGGAATGATCGGTACGTTCTCATAGTCAAGGCCAAAGTTATGACTCAGAGAATCGTAGATTGCACGAGTTTAGTCGCCTTAGGTTCCCATTCAAAAATCTACACTGAGCTACCTTCATCTATGTACATACTGTTATACCACATCACATTTAGGAATGACTGCTCGAACTGTGTCGGAGCTGACTAATTTTCACCCGTCGCAGTCCGAAGGAGGCTGCACATGGTTTGGTACGGCTCCGCTCTGTAACTGGCCTTGTCCATCAGAATACGACTATATTCGTAAGCATAACGGACGGTGAGTCGGAACAACTTCATTGTTGGGTTACGATTTCCTCCCACATCTTCAAGAACAATCATTTAAAGGCACAGCTCACGGGATATTTCCGAGGCTTTCAAGTGAAGCGAACTTGTAAACCAAATTGTGCCATGCGAGGCGCTGTCGGATTAAAAGCAGCTTTGTTGGGAGCAATATGTGCTCGAGGGCCAGTTCCGACAAAGTTCACTGCCAGAAATAGCGTGCTTTGACGGCCTTGTGAAGACTGACCACTTGCACTTCATTTACATTCCTATTAATTTAAAGCGCTAAATGTGCTTGTGGTTTACCGGCGTGTGTGTATGTGTGTGTATGCATGTATGTGTGTGACCCGATTTCCTAACTTCAGTCCCCATGTGGCCATGGACCTGGAGAAATTGGTTCAAATTCGGTAGGGGTACAGGAGGTAGGAGTGAAATAGATATAATAGGTTGCAGTACTGGATTTCGCCTTCGAGGGGCGATGCATGCGCAGAATTTGTTTCCTCGAACTGCTAGAATTCAAAATTGTATGGAATACATGCGGGAGCTTTGAACGAAAGGAATGCTGTGCTTCGACGGAAGATCCACTGGACCACTCTGGCTCGCGATAGGGACAAATTGAGTTAGATCTCGTATAGTCACCAGAAAGGGTTTCAAACTCCCAGAATTTTGCGGATTCCCGCGCTTTCTTCGCCACCGGCACACTACTCTGAATCGACACCTCTGTTTTTCAATTGAGAAGGATTACTATCGTGAGCTGTGGTCGAAAGAAACTATCGTGAGCTGTGCCATTAAAATCGTGACCGTTATTTGTGATGCAAGGTTGATTTTCCTTCAGGGCTGTCTATATTTCGCTTCAATGGTCGAGTTTAATTTGGTTTCAGGTGTTCCAACATGTGGTTTAGCGGTTTTTGTGTGCCCGACGACAGCTTCGGAAAGCCGTGTTCAACTGTCCTCGGAAGTTACTTCTATAAGCGCTTCTGCTGCAAGTTTGTGTTTCGTTCTGTTCACAGAAAAGACTTAGGGTGTGGGGGAGGGAGAAGCATAGCATTCATGCTAGGGCTATTAATAAGAGTTGGAATAATGTAGCCCAGACATTTGGGAGAAGTATGAATTTTGCTAGTGATACTTATCGATGTAAAAGGGATAATGTTTCTAGGTGTGATACTCCATTGCGTGGAATAGTCATGACCAGGTGTAGATGATAAAAAACATTTGTGTAATTCCGCTGCATTTAAGCTCTGAATACAAGGTAGAATTCAGGTCCGATCCAACAGATTGTACGTGGTCTGGCCGATGGATGGGGGCCAATACTGCTCACAATATCTACTGCCGGTATGACAACATAGGAAAATGCGGTTCAATTGATTGCTCGATTAATCACTACACATTGAAGGTTAGTTACCAAATGTTAGTGAGTTCAATCGTTTTTCAATAGTCGACGAGAATTGATCGAGGCCAATCAATGCAAATCTGCGAAGGGAACGAACTTATTATGATAATTTACCACCGTCAGCCCAGAAAAATCAGTGGCAGGATGAACTACCGAGCAGTCTGACCGAACCAGTAAAAAATAAAAGGTCATCCAGGTCCAAGAGGTTACAAGGAGTGGATCCTCGTCGCTGAAGAGCATTGTGTGCCAGCAATAGGAATTCGTAGGGCAAGAACTCTCGGTACTAACTCACTATGGTTGCGAACCTTGCTGAAATAGACTTCCTGAGTCTTGAGTCCTTCTACTATGAATTCGTATTTGCTAGCATAATAATTAAAAGTTGATCGCTTGCCACTCATCAGTCGGTTGGCTGTGTAGGGTACAAAATTCAGTTATGGTAGTTACACCGCCAGTCAGAAGGATACGGTAGAAGAGCCACTGGGTAAAAAAGTTGCCTCTTAGTGTGACCGATAACCAGAACTCACTCAAATAAATCATAATATCTATTAGGAATCGAAATCTCTGCGAGAAGGATTTGTTGGACGAAAATCAGTGAGATATGCTAATATAGTGTCAATTATACAATATTATACAGAAAATGAAACACGTTGTATAGTACAGGCCTGAACAATCTCCGTGTAAAATTCTGATTACGTCGAGCGTGGCGCATTTACTCGACGCGTACGATGACAAGCCTCTTAATGTTCAGTATTTTCGGATGCTTCANATATGCTAATATAGTGTCAATTATACAATATTATACAGAAAATGAAACACGTTGTATAGTACAGGCCTGTACAATCTCCGTGTAAAATTCTGATTACGTCGAATGCTTGGCGCATTTACTCGACGCGTACGATGACAAGCCTCTTAATGTTCAGTATTTTCGGATGCTTCATAGAGAATGAAGAGTGAATAGAACGTGTTTCAGGCGCAAAACTCATCCGATATTTACGGTGACCGATGTGATCGTGTCGATCTGTTCGGGCTGAGAGGAAAAGCTACTTGTGGATATATTGCATGGTTCAACGATGAAGACGAAATTGTTAATAGCTGGTATAAGACCAGGTGATGATTGATGTCGTTCTTTGTTTCTGATTGAGCTCATTCTCATCTCTCAAGTAATGCACTTTACTCTATTGCCTCTTTTGGGTTAGATGAACTTCGTCTCAGGTTTATCCCAACAGTCAGTGATAAGATCACTTTCTTGCTAGAATTACTCAATTCTGCTCAAATAGATATGATGATAATTTTGGGCAGTACCTAGTGAGAACTTGACCACTACCAGGGTGTTATGACCGTATCCTTTGAAAGTTCACGAAATCCGATTTTTCCTGGAATGTTCTGAAAATTTCTACAGAAGCACTACAAAGGTACATTGCGCACAATTATTAGGAGATCGATTATATCGCAATCGGTTGACTAGATGGAGGTTCATGACCTACATGGCTTGGGCTGTGAAGAGTTGGAACGCGGTTTACAAAACGGCTTAAAATGTGCTTGAAGGGGGACTGTATAGCACACGCTCCAATGACTTCGGACCGGTCGGTCGAACTCTTAAAGAAGTATGGAATGAGTATGGGTAGTTAGTTTAGTCGCTTCTCGGTCAAAAAATGCAGAAAGAGGTAGCGCTTATTAATCTCACACAAGTGGACAGTATCCTTAGATAATTCCATGAAGGCTTCCGGGACATTCCCGATTAACCTAGTTGTAAGAGCTTTTCCATATGCAGCTGTGTTTGCAAAAGAGCGTTGTAAAAGAAGTAAAGGGTGCTCTGCTCTGCTTGTTTCGACGTTGAGCTAGGGAACCGCCGCTAATACTACTCTCAGTGAACCTCGGACCTTGTTGAATAGAATAATTTCGTTTGGATACAACGGCATCAGAATGGATTCGATGGAAAGCGGTCGAATTCATAATGGGGCATAGTAATGGGTTATGAAATACGGTAATTTAGCTACTTGTCCTTTCCTCATGGTAAAATCACCTCTTCTCTGCATTCTTTCTAGCACCTGAAGTCTCTTAAAAATGGTATTTGAAATGTTCCGTATTTGCTTGTAATGTTTTATTTCGTGATCTCATCAAAAGCTGCAATACATGTTGAGAAGTATTTATTGGGAGAAGAGAAAGATTTATCTCTGTACGTTTCTAGGAGAATGGGTAGAAAGTCCCAAATTTCACATAATTCTGTTTTTTTCTACTGATAATGTGACTACAATTACGTCTGTTTGTAGATAAAGATTTGACTAAACTCGCAAATTTATCCTAGAACTAGAACGATGATAAACACCTTTGATAGGGTCTTTAAGAACCGATAATCTCTTCATTTTTATCTCTTCTTATCCTACTTTCCTTTTTCAACAGTCCTATAGGCGGCTACAAGGGTTTTCAGGAATTTGTGATGTTCTTGAGCCCTAATGAATATGTACCTAATGATCTTAAGACGGTTCCGAGTCTCTGGCAACAGGCCATATTTGGGTTTCGGGCGAAACACGATTTCAGTCAGTGCTTCCCGGCCATCAGATTTTAACCTATCAGCTATCGAGATTAGTCAAGCACGATATTGAAGAAAACTGCTCACCTATATGAACTATATGACTCTCGCGGTCTCCATCCTCCTCCGCTTCCTAAAATGTGACTCGAAATGGGATTTTTCAAAATTCACCCTCCCTCCCTCCCCCCATCAGTCTCACAAATCATCACGATAATCAAAAGCCAATTAAAAAACCTGAAGAGCTTCATTATTTTAGCCAACTTTCATTATTGCTGAATCC